CTGTATATATATATATATACAGTTACAAACTTCTATAATTATATACACATTAAAAAGGCATTTATTTGCTGAAGTCGGTTTAAGAATCAGACTATGCGGATTCATCCGTCCTGCTCAGAGTTAAGATTAAGTAACTAGAGAATAATAATGATATTCGGCACATCATATGTTCACAATATAATAGAAAATGTTCTCAATACATACTGAGTAAAAGTTTCATATGCGGACGCAGGAATATCTTCTGCATATTTTCAAAATATCATAGTACGAATTTTGAATATTAATGGAATACAGTCTACGTTTGATACTATACATGTTCAGGATCTGCTTATGCTGTATGAGTTTCTACGTAGAATAACGTAAAAAATTGATTTATGCTAAGAAAATTATGATTCCAATTAAAAAAATATAAGCTGATCTTAAAATAATCTCTAAAAAACATCTCAATATTATAATAATGTAATACTACCGTCTAATATCCTCCTTGAAAATATACTTTTGTCTGAAATATATATATTTTTTTAAAACATGTATTTTTTTAAATATTCGGTCGTTTTAGAACTTTTCGACTGTATATAGTCAAAAGTAAAATGTTGCAACACTTTTTGATGTTTTTTCTGTACGTTATCGATATTCTAAATATGCTAGACATTATATATATTTTACGTTATCACAGTATTCACGAAATTAACAGAGTATTAACAGAGTAAAGAATTTAACGATTACTTATGATTCGATAATATTCTTTATATAGATTTAGATGTAGTTAAAAGCTAAATATATACATTAGTCAAATCCATTAACAAATAATAGCTTCTAATAATAGCTTATTAACTAATAATAGCTATTAATATTAAATTAAATACAGGCAATCTTAAATTTAAAGAAAATAACTCGACAAGGATTAATTGCAATCGAATCGATTTTTCCAACCTTATTTTATTTATAAACATAATCTGACAAAATACATTTTATATTTTTCGTATTTTTGTTGCACACACATTTTACATTTTCTTCTCTTTTTCCACATTTGTCCCAAGAAAACCTTTAAAATCAAAGAATACTGTTAAAATTACCTTCTATATATGATTCCTATAGATGGTTGAGAGAAAATGAAAACAATGAATTATTACTTAAGTTAATACTACCTTAATCAAGGACTAATTTTCTTTACTGGAGTTTCTTTTATTAATTATTCATTTATGCATTTTTACTAAATCAACTGATACATAAATGAATTAATAAAAGAAATAAAGAAGTAATATTTTGCATAATTGTAATATCGTACATATATATTTATTTTACATAATTTTGTTTTAAATTGATATTTATTATTTAGATAACAAAATAAATGTACAGAAAGATAATTTTGTTTGATAAAGAAATTTATGAATAGTAAATTTATGAATAATCTCTTTGATGCATTATGAACTTAGCAATATAATAAATATAAACTTAGCAGTATTATTACCAGTTATTCCTGCGTATATTTGTGACAAGAGTGAATTGCTACTGTTCCCATCGTGATTTTGGGCGAATAACTTCTTTAAAAACTTCATTATCCATTTCATTAATTTGCACCATATACGCTTAAAATCTTTGCAGCAGGAGTCCTGAGAGAGTGGGGCTGAAAGAAAGTGTAGAAAAATATATAAGTAACAAAAAATCGGTTTTTTTAGTCGCTATTTAACGAAGTGATATAAATACTTACCATCATACAATGAAATCGTATGAATTTGGCTTACGCATTTGTTCATTTCCATCAACACGTATATTGTCTTTTTCGGTAAGTAGAAATGCTTTACAAAGCAACCTCTTCTAGATAATGTATACATATGGTAAATACGACTGCCAGGTTTATGAAAGTAAAATATACCTATGTAATCTTTAGATATCTTGTCCAAATCCTTGCCAGCATTGCAGAGCAAGATATCGAGCTGTTCCAAAATATTAAATAGAACACTACTGTAACGTGTCTGCATAGTATTTTTATATGTTTTGAATTCCTTATGTAAGTCGTAATCCTCTCCTTAAATAATGAATAAAAAATTATATTTAATTTAGCGAGGTATACAATGTATTTTTAGATCTAAATACCTTTGACTTCATTGGTCAAATTGATGTATAGAAAATGATAGAATATGCTGGCTTTTTCAATGGTAATTTCGCATCGCTTTTTTGAAACATATTTAAGAATTTTCATTAAATAAATTGTTATAGATTATCATATCCTTCATAAATATATATTTACAATAATATTTATATTATACAGTGTTTACAATAAAATAGTACTTTAATATAAGTACATCTAGATAGTATTAAATTATACAATATTTATATTACACAATTTATTCATGAATTTTCTTAAATGCGTTTTAAAAAGGGAAATACAAAATCATTGGAAAAGAAAGCCAGCATTTTCTTTCATTTTCTACTTATTATTTTGAACAAAGTTGCCATACATATGCATTTTACATCTAATGAATGACATAACATCGTACATATCATACAATCATATTATACAAGTGTTTTTACGGGAATCTTATTATGCTTATAAATATCAACAATATTAGAAGCAAGATATAAACGATTCATGTTACTATTGTGTAACATGCTCTTTCCTCGTACAGTTTGAATAAATAGAGACAGAAGAATCTATATGTATATAAAGAGTGTTATCTTTCTTTTTCTACTTATTATTTTGAACAAAGTTGCCATACATATGCATTTTACATCTAATGAATGACATAACATCGTACATATCATACAATCATATTATACAAGTGTTTTTACGGGAATCTTATTATGCTTATAAATATCAACAATATTAGAAGCAAGATATAAACGATTCATGTTACTATTGTGTAACATGCTCTTTCCTCGTACAGTTTGAATAAATAGAGACAGAAGAATCTATATGTATATAAAGAGTGTTATCTTTCTTTTTCTACTTATTATTTTGAACAAAGTTGCCATACATATGCATTTTACATCTAATGAATGACATAACATCGTACATATCATACAATCATATTATACAAGTGTTTTTACGGGAATCTTATTATGCTTATAAATATCAACAATATTAGAAGCAAGATATAAACGATTCATGTTACTATTGTGTAACATGCTCTTTCCTCGTACAGTTTGAATAAATAGAGACAGAAGAATCTATATGTATATAAAGAGTGTTATCTTTCTCCCACCCGCTAAATACATAGCGTTGTTCTGCCGACAGTACAGTCATAGTGTACAGTTGTAGTAGCTTACGCACACTATCAAACACGCAGCTCATAGCATGCGTCCGTTTAAAGAACGATGCTAATTTGCTGGAATTTATTTAAAAATAACTGCTTCATTAAGCATAGTAAAAAGAATAGGTCAGAACGTTCCAATTTAATTTTTCATAAAGAATAATGTTATACTTATTGGGCGGGGACGGATAATACCTTGTATACATATATGTATAATTACAGAAAGTGAAGATATATGTCACATCTAAACTACTTTGAAAGCAGAATATATTTGATTTAAAGTCTTTTTTATAAATATACAATCAGCGATTAATATGTCGATTAAAGCGTCAACATTTAAATAGTTCAAAAAGGTAATTAATAAGTACTTACCTCTGAAAAGACGAGTCGGTCTTAATAATGTAGCATATGTGTCAAACGTTTCAATTTTACTTAAGGGTAACTTTTCGTAATCACCCACGTCCAGAGTTTGTGGACTCTTACAATGATTAACCAGAGAAAATCGAATTGGTTGTTCGTTGAAATCTTTATTATTTGTCCTCTTTATCTTTATGACAAATACTTGGCCAGGTTCCAGCGGCTTCTTACCGATAACAAACGATTCTGAGTCATGATCACTACAATTGATCGCCACCGTGTTATACTTGCAAAGAGCGATTGACCGTCCAATGACACGTAGTTCGGGAGTGTCTATTTTCTTCATTTTATCACAAAAAGTCGCACACTTATTCGACAGTACTCGACGGCAAACAACGATGCAATTTTTAATGCAATAAGTATCAAGAAATAAGCTATGCTTCCGTCAGGAACGCAGGAAAACTACTGAGGCTCTGCTTCAGCTGAAGTATATATATATACCTGTTTGCCTTTTCTTCTCCGTTTTGAAAGGACGGTATTTCCCGTTTTTTTTAAGTCTCTCAGATAATATTCTTTGTCTTCATTCAGATTTCCCATCTTCGAGCAGGTATAAGGCAACTCAAATATATCGTTATTCCAAGTTGAACAGAACATTACAACAATATTAAAATAATGTTAAAATAACGAGAAAATAATCGAATCGTGATTGAAAAATAATCTTTTTAATCATTTTCTTATCATTTTCATGTTATCGTGATTTTTTGTTCTACTTGAGTAACGATTTCAGAGTCATTACCGGTAGATTTACACAATACAATTGATAATGAAATTTAGAATAATAAGTAACAATATAATGATGGACATTAGTGACCAACACTATAATATTGCCGCGTCTCACTAATTTACATAACTCACGTAATAAAACGTACCCAACTGCGTATAACAAATTTAACATAAATTGGATAAGAAATCAATGAAACGAAATAACAAATCATCGTTTATTACATTTATTCTTACATTTTTACATTTCAAATAAAATAATTACAATCATTACTGCAAGTGACGATATATTTGCAATCCTTTTATCATTTCTTCAAATATGGTCCTTGGTAACTTTAGATTCTCTAAATCTTCCATCGTCAATAATTTCGCTGCTAACCTCTCTAAAATAACATCCATAGAATATGCCTTTAGAGATCTTTTTGGCGGTGTGCCTATAAAAAATGTATAAGTAACAAAATAACGGCCGCATTTGGTGAGTCGACATAATATTGATGCTTACTATAAAAAAATGGATTGATGTTTATCACATTTACTGTGTCGCTCCTTTGCATACTGATATATATTTTTTTGTCTTCAGCGAATTTATATTGCTTTACACAGACTTTTAGATCACACTTATTTATTATAGATATCAAATATACAAATGTTTGACGTTCGTTATTTATTAACCAAGTATAATAAAATATGGCTATACGATTATAACGTTTCCGTCTCAGACTTATAAAGCTTTCGCATATGTTCATGCTTAGAATCTCAGCGTAAGGAAACATGTTCATTTTTATACGGCATATTTCAAATATTTTTCGTAAAATAACTAGAACAATGAATAGTAAAAGAATAATGTTTAATTCAGTGAGATATTACAATTCCAGTACTAAATACAAAATACTAAATACTAAATACGTCTGACTTGTCATGCATATTCATATTAGATCTAATGAATAGTTAAACATCATGCAATATGCATTCTTATGAAAATATTATTAGGCTATACAGATTAAATATATTAGAGGCATAACACAAATATGATATGTAATTGTTGTATAACATGCTTTCCCCCTACAGTTTTATACGAGAATGGAAATACGAGAATATAAATACGAAAAATATTACTATTAAATTTCTTTGACAACAAAACGTACTGATTTAAAGTCTATTATACAAGGTAGGGGCTCGAAAGCCAGACATTAAGATTTTACGGGAAATTTAAATTTGAACAAAAAATATTCTATAAATAGAATAAAAAATGCTTATTTAAAAAATTAATGTCTAAAAATCACGGTTTATACACATTTTTGCAAATGTCTATAGAAGCATGGGTTATTTAATAAAAATACCGAAACAAAATTCATAGAGAATTAAATTATCTTTCAAATACGAATAACACAAATGTAATACGTTACGTTGATTTCTATTTAACTCGTGATAAATCTTTTGGTGCGACACAACGTTTCCAGTGCTCCTGTTCATTTCACACATTGGATAAACTGTTGTAGTTTTAACTGAATTTAATATTTCTCTATCATTTAAATTATTCATATTAAGTTCTTGTTCTCTTTTTTCAAACTGAGTGAAAAAAATTCTTGCGTCTTCTTTAAAGTGACAACACCACATTGGAGATGTATTACTTTTTTCCTTTTCTTCTTTTTCCGGTATTTCCATAATGAAAAGCTCGAATGGCTCCAGTGACTTCAAACCGATAATATTCGGAGTAATTTTCATTTTGTGCAAGCGACAGCGTTGCGGACCAGAATATATGTGCATATGAATTCCTTTGAAATCGTCCATGTTAGCTTAGAAGTAGTTGTCTATGGCGTGAAATTTGACAGTACTTTGTCAATTATGTTTATTTTAACATAAACAATGGTATATTTATGCGAACAAAAATCTATGGCAAACAACGATACACTTTTTAAATAAATACTTACAGTTTTATTAGGAATTGGATAAACGTGCTCATTCGGCCTGAACGCTCGAAACTAAACTGGTCAGGTTAGTTTCAGGGTTAGTCTTTATATTCAAGTGTACTCGCCTCTCCTTATAACAACCGAACGTTCCCATTCGTTTTCGGAAAAAGTCTCCTCTCCCTCCAGACGTCGAGTACTACTCATTCCAAAAACGTCCCGTGAATCACCCGTAGACTATCCGTTTTGCGTGAGCCATACTGTACAAAGAAAATTTTCACAAATGTTGTCGCCTTATATTGTAGGTATGCTGTAATGACAACGTCTGCCGCTATATGCTAGATAAAAAAAACTGATTTTCTTGTCATTTTGATATATCGTGATTTTGTGCTCTACCTGAGTAATGATATGAGAGTCATTACCGATGGGGTAATGACTCTCGCGCGCGTTAGGCGCTGTGTGTGTGTGTGTGTGTGTGTGTGTGTGTGTGTGTGTGTGTGTAGGCATCCTCTTGAGTTACAAATTCAATTTTTTATTTATATACGGTGTCCAAAAATTACATTCATTACATACATGCAACTTTTTTGCTAATAATTTTTTAACAACCAATGAGCGCCGGCTAAAACCTTTTGATTGTCACTCAGGACAGTGTCCTTGATAATATATATCAAGGTGGAGGTCATTGGAGGATGCTCCGTTATAGTCGATAATTGCCCAAGAATTTTCCGCCCCTACAGCCCCTTGGGCGGAATTATCGAGAGAGAACTGCAATAAGTAACGATATAACGACATTAGTGACTGGTATTAATATATTCCCGCGTCTCATTAATTTACGTAACCAATGTAATAAAACGTAATCAACTATGGATAACAAATTAAATATAAGAAATCGGTCGATAAAAAATCGATGAAACAAAATAACAAATCATCGTGCATCACATTTATTTGTCATATATTTACATTTTAAATCAAATAACTACAATTATCATTGCAAATGGCGAAATATTTGCAATCCTTTTCTTTCCATTTCTTTAAGTATGATAGTTGGTAATTCCAGTTTTTCTAAATCTTCTTTCGTCAATACGCTCTTCGTTGTTATCCTCTTCATAATAAATTGCAAGGAAAAATCCCTCAGAGAATAATCTGGCGAAATGCAGAAAAATATATATAAGTAACAAAATATCAGCCGCATTTGGTGAGTCGACATAATATTGATACTTACTATGAGAGGATGGAAGGATCGATATCACATTTACTACGTTGCTCCTTTGCATACTGACGTATACTTTTTTTGCTTGATCGAATTTGTATTGCCTTACACAGATTTTTTTCCCAGATATCAGAATTACTTCAGTTAATGGACCATTATGGAAATAAAACATGCCTATGCGATTATTAGGTTCCCCATTCTCATTTTGTTGAACAAAGTATTGGTCTAAGTTTCTAATTAGAATGTCAGCATAAGGAAATTTATCTCTATTTGTGTGGCATATTATACGTAGAAAGCGGTGAAGAAAACCTATAACAATAAATAGTAAAAGAATAATGTTTAATTCAGTGAGGTATACACACACACACAATGCGCTTTCAGTAAATACTAAATACTAAATACGTCTGATTGGTCATACATACTCATATTAGTAAATAGTAAATAGTAAATAGTATAACATCATGCAATATACATTCTTATGGGAATATTATTAGACTATACAAATTAACTATATTAGAAACATAATACAAATATGTTATGCAATTGTTGTATAACATGCTTTCCCTGTAAAGATTTAATAAATGGAAATATGAGATTATAGATAAAAAAATATTATTGTTAAACTTCTTTGACAACAGAACGTACCCAGATAGCAAGGTGACGTCAAAAGACGTCATTTAGACGCTATTAAGACATCTATGACGTCTTAATGACATCTTAATAACGTCTTTAGACATCACCTTGCGACTGATTTAAAGTCTATTATACAAGATGGGACTCGAAAATTCCAGCCAGACACTAAGATTTTACGGAAAATTTAAATTTGAACAAAAATTTCCTATAAATAGAATAAAGATGCTTATTTAAAAAATTAATGTCCCATAATCACGGTTTATATACATTTATGCAAATATGTAGAGAAGCATATGTTTAATAAAAATACCGAAACAAAATTCGTATAAAATTAAATTATCTTTCAAATAAAATCAGCACAATTGTAATAAGTTACATAGGTTTTGAGATAACCAGTTTCAAATGTACAAAAAAAGTATTATTTTCAGGTATCGAGCAAGAAAAAAATATAGAGCTTTTTAAAATACTCTTCATTTATGCTGTTATAATTATAGTTTATGCTGTAAAAAATTAAAGTAAAGCAAATAGTAAAGTTAATAGCAAGTACTCACGCCAGTCATACATCCTACGGTGCCGCTGCATTCTAGTGCGTCTGTTTGATTTGCAAATTGGATAAACTTTTTGAGTTTGAATTGAATTTAATATTTCATTATTATTTAAATTATTCATATTGAGATCTTGTTCTTCTTTTTTAAATTGACTGAGAAACATTGTCACGGCTTTTTTAAAATGACAACACAATATATAGCTATCAAACATATAAGGTCTAAAAAATATATCCCTTCCTTCCACTTCTATTCCCGCTATTTCTATAATAAACAGCTCAAATGGCTCCAGCGACTTCAAACGAATAACATTCGGAATATCCATCTTGTACAATTGACAGAGTTGCAAACCAGAATATATGTTTGTATGAATTTCTTCGAAATGGTCTAAATTAGCTTGGAAGTAGTGGTGTATGATGTGAAATTTAACAGTATTTTGCCAGTTATGTTTATTTTAGCATAAACGATAGTATATTTATGCGAACAAAAATCTATGGCAGACAACGTTATACTTTTTAAATAAATACTTGCAATTAGAGAAACTAGATAATTAGATAAATAAATAAATAGATGAATTAGATAACTAGATAAATTAGATTTTACTAGCAAGTAGAGAAACGCGCGTACTTATTCGATCTGAACGCACGACACTGAACTGGTCAGGTTTCAGAGTTAGCCTTTATATACCTGCGTGTTCGTCCCTCTTTATAACAAACCCCCCCTCCCCGCCGCGCTTAGTCATTTTCGGAAATAGTTGTTGAATCTGTACAACGAAGGTCTTCAGAAATGTTTACTCCTATTGTAAGTAAACTATAATAACGACATCCGCCGCTGTATGCTTCTTTGCAAGGACAAACTGAACAAACTTTCTTTTCACTTTGATGTATCGTGATTTTGTATTCTACCCGAGTAACGATTTGAGATTCATTACCGATGGATTTACACAATAAAATTCATAATGAAATTTAGAATACAATACTCTCTTGATAGTTTTTCTTTCGATAACTTTCCGTTTCCAAAAATTTTCCGCCCCTACAGGCCTTTGGGAGGAAAGTCATCGAGAGAGTATTACGTAACGATATAACGATAGACATTAGTAACCGGCACTAAATATTCCCGCGTCTCACTAATTTACGTAAATCATTCTAAATACGTAAATAATTCTATAATGAAAACTTGGCACGGCTCCAATGACTTCAAACCGATAACATTCGGAATAATTTTCATTTTGTTCAATTATATTTATTTGTCAAAAGGCGGAGACTTATTTGTACTCCCAATATTTATTTTAGCACAAACGATAATATATTTATGCGAACAAAAATCTATGGCAGACAACGATACACTTTTTAAATAAATACTTGCAGTTTTATTAAAAAGTGGATGAACGTGCTTATTCGACTTGAAAGCACAAAATTGAACTGGTCAGGTTTCAGAGTTCGCCTTTATATATCTGCGTTCTCGCCTTTCCTTATAATGAACCTCCTCTCTCCGCCCGCCTAGGTCGTTTTCGGAAATTGCCTGTACAAGGAAGATTTTTAAAAATGTTTACATATTGTACTCATATGTTACTCATATTGTAAGTGAGCTGTAGGGCGACATCTGCCACTGTATGCTTCTTTGCAAGGTCAACTGATTTTCTTGTCACTTTGATATATCGTGATTTTGTATTCTACCTGAGTAACGATTTGAGAATCATTACCAATAGATTTACACAATACAATTCATAATAAAATTTAGAATACAGTACTTTCTCGATAACTTTCTGTTTCCAAGAATTGTCCGCCCCTACAGCCCCTTGGACGGAAAGTTATCAAGAGAGTACTGATATAAATGAGTAATGATATAACGATGGACATTAGTGACCGGCACTAATATATTCCCGTGTCTCATTAATTTATGTAACTAACTTAATAAAATCTAACCAACTGTGGATAGCAAATTAAACATAAGAAATCGGTCGATAAGAAATCGATGAAACGAAATATCAATCATCCCGTATTACATTTATTTACATTTATTTATCACATCTTTACAGCTCAATTCAAATGACTACAATCATTATTGCAAGTAGCGAAATATTTGTAATCCTTTTCTTATCATTTCTTGAAGTATACTTCTTAGTAACTCAAGTTTCTCTAAATCCTGTCATCCTGTATTTTCGTCAATGTACTGTTCGTTGTTATCCTCTTCATAACAACGTCCATGGAAAAGGCCTTTAGAGAAAAACCTGGTAAAATACAGAAAAATGTGTAAGTAACAAAATATCGGTCGTATTTGGTGAGTCAACATAATATTGATGCTTATCATGATAGAATGGAATCATCGGAATCATCGATATTTTCAACTTGTGCAAACGACAGAGTTGCGAATCGGAATATATGTTCGTATGAATTTCTTCGGAATGGGCTATGTTAGTTTGCAAGTAGTGGTCTATGATGTAAAGTTTGACAGTACTTTGTCAGTTATGTTTATTTTAGTATAAACGATACTATGTTTATGCAAACAAAAATCTATGGCAGACAACGATACAAGTTTTAAATAAATACTCGCAGTTTTATTAGGAAGTGAGTAAACGTGCTCATTCGATCTGAACGCACGAATCTAAAAATTACCTTAAAATCAACAAATATTTCTTTAATAGGTGCCATTAACATATATTTACTTTAATCTAAATTCTCTTTATTTAAGTCAAGTATTGTTTACCTGATTAAACAATATTTGGTTTAAATAAAAAAAATTTAGGTTTAAATAAATATATTAATGGCACCCATAAAAGAAATATTTGTTGATATCAAGGTAATTATTTCCTCAGTGTACAAGAGAACAATGATTTTAAATATCGAAATCGCATTTGTATCATGTGGAAACATAAAAATAGCATTGATTTACTGAATTTACCGGATGCAAATCCTATCGAAAACGTTTGGTTCTTGATAAAGTTTAAACTTCATGGAAAAAAAATTTGGTCGGTCAAGGAGTTAGTTCGATAAATTTGATTATTATGGAGATTTTTACCTTAAGAATATTTTATAAAATTAATTGAAAGAATGCCTCGGAGATGCCAGACAATTATTGATAATAAAGGACAAGTTAGTAATAATAAAGCATCACAGTTCTAACCAAGTAGTATGTATATGTTTTATTCCAAATCATTTCAATAAATTATTTATCAAGTTTTATCGGACATGCTCTTATCAAACAGACTATATGTAACGGACGATGTCGTAAGTAATTGTCGTAACGAGGATGCTGAGCGGCGCCTTCAGTTTCTTCACAGCGCATTTGACAGGAAATTGAAATTCGCCGACCATAGTGGGTTGATACTCGAGCCTGTGATAAATTGTGAGTGCGTCAGTGCGAATGTCTAAAAAATTGTCAAGTTGTCGTCTCTTCTATTTACCATAGAATCTGTTCGCTTCTTGCGTTTAAAATTCCGCTCATAGGCATTATCTTCAAGTTCTGCAAGCGTCCCTCGGAATATAAAGAGTCGCGCACCACCTCAAAGTGCATTCGAAATTCCTCGTCGTTGACTATACATATTGACTCTCGCACGGTAACACCTGCGGGGTGCACAATAATATCGTTAGACGTATAAGTTTTTTTTTTCTGAGAAAAAGTCTAGTGGAAAGGATGATAAAATTGCCTCCAAAGATAATTTTGCCGTAGTTATGCAAGAATGATCCAATTCACATGAAGCACGTTTCGAGAAAAATGAAAATAAAAATTTTATACATGATTTTAAAAGTATAGATAGAGTGAGAATGTAAATACAAATACAAAATATGCAATTCTTCGCAATCGTTCAAAAAGTCAAGTATCGTCAATTTTCTTTTCTTTTAAGATATTCACTAAAAAGCTTAATTCGTATGAATGAAAAAGGACGCAATTAGCAAAAATGGTGCAATTATTAGAAAATAAAACTATTTTTAATTAATTTTAAACATCCATAAGGCTTGGAAAATAAAAACTGAAAAATTATAATTTTATGAGTTGGATTATTCTTGCATAAGTATAGTCATCTTACATAATAGCTGCCTAAAAGTAACTTATAGCGAGTAAGCATAGTCCCAGTCACTTCGTTAGAGTAACAAAAAATTAAATAAAAGGATATCTTTAAAAAGATATATATATATAGGAGATATATACAAGATATATAGAAAATATATAGGAGATTTTTAAATCTCACATGTGGTACACACACGAGTATGTGGAATACTTTAATTGACACACTGGGATTATTTCTGTCTTCGCTTTTTTATTTATATTCAATAAAACTAATGAAATAATACTAATGAAATCTATAAAAAATTATAAATATACTTTCAAGTCTAAAATAGAATCATGTGCAGAAATAATTGCAAATATTTACTTAACTGTTTCATTTTATTGCATTATAAAGAGAAATGAAAGTTTATCTAAAAATTTATTATTTTCTTGAAAAAACAAATTTAACACTGTAGGAGATTCTCTTGTCAATTTTTAAGAAAAAAATTACATATTTCAATATATCAAAAAGTATAATAATTTAGATATATGAAAATATATCATTTTTCAGCCAAGAAGCGAATAAAATTATTAATAATTTCAAGACTTTGCGATATTATTCTAATGTCTATAATTGTTCGCAATTAAGATAATTTGATTACAAATCAAGTAACATTAAACAGAGATTAATGAAAGCCGGGACGTTGTTGCTGGCATGCAAAATATTCCATTAATAGTCCATCAATAATCATTAATGTAATGACTAGTTAATTATAGTTAATTATAGTCAATTAATGAATTTTAGTGTGTAAATAATCAAACGCATTTTGATACTAAGATGAGATATCTTTCAACAATCTTAATTTAACAACCTGAATTTTTAATCGCGAAATCAAAATAAACATCATAAATAATGTCATCATAGTAGTAATTTAGTTTTTCCAACTAATCTGCTTAGCATCATGACGAAAAGGTCTAGGAGATTTAGGTTTCACACATTACATATTACAAAGCTATTTTGAGGTAGCTACTGTGTCAAATTATCTTTGACGGCAGATTTATTATTCTTACTTCGGGAGAATCTTTAAACCTAATCTACAATGTGCTGTTTGCGTTCTGTTTCTTGTCTTCTGTCTTTTTCTGGCTTAAAGCTTAAGGTTTGTGTCAGAAAAAGAAAAAAAGAAAGAAGCAAGAATCTAAGAACACATTGTGAATCAAGCTTTAGGCCCTTATAATTTTTTTTCTAACCTAATACGGTCGGTTTCATTCTTAGATGAGCAATTGGACAATAAATCAGCGGTTCTCTGACGAACGCGACTATCAGGAAGAGACATTCCAGATTGTACTTTTCGATGGAGAATAACCAGAAAGACTCGAACGTGCCAACGCGGTCCGCGAGAAACACGAAGGTGAATTCGACCTGCTTTCCACGCTCGGCGACACCCTCCGACAGCACGCAGCGAAAATTCGGAATCTGGCCTTCCGCGTGACGGGTTCGATCACTCCATGCGAAACGATAATCATCCGACGTTGGATTTATCATGCGGAATTTTCTGAAATTTCGAAATACACTGATCGTATCTTTTTTAAGAGGACAGAACAATGTAACGCTCTGAAAAAAGCGTATTTTTGAGAATTAATTTTGCGAAAATGGACTAATCAAATATTTTGAAACATTTTATATTAATTAAGTAACTATTAAATTTTATATTACTATTTTTTTGTTATTTAAAAAATTTATAAACAGCACTTATATGCAGCATGTGGCCAGACTCACGACTGCGAAAAATATCGCTGCAATCGGCAAAAAAGATAGCGCCCATTTATTTTGACCTAAGTTCTAAAAAGCAAAAAGTTCCTTAAGGAATTATATCTACCGCAAGCCTTAAAAAAAACATGCTTTTTTGGGATTTTTTTTTATTAAATAGAAAATCTTTTATCTCCGTTTTTTTTTAATTTAATAATATATATATTCGCATTTAGTGAGACCCTTCACTCGTGTTTGTTTATGCGAATGTCAGTATTCAGATCAGAAAGTGACGCGAGACACCGTTATAAAATGTAAATTCTTTGTGTACATTTCGGATAATTAAAATGTCTTACAAGAAAACTGAACCGATGTGTGTTGACATCGAAGAGTCAGCGCGCGGCTTTCTATCAAGTTCTGCCGCGGCAGATTGTGGCGAGTGATCGAGTTGAGTATATCAGCTGACGGGTGCAATGAAGCGTCGGATTGTTCGGTATGAATAGAATTGTTTGAGGGTCATC